TAAAGATAAACAGAAACATAATCTTCCCTCTAATTTTTATAAAAGTGAGCCCTGTTTAGCAAGTTTACTTTATCAAAATATACCCTTTTGTTACATTTGCTATAAATGTAAGCAGGTATAATACTGCATGTGAAATCAGAGGTTTTACTTTTATAGCCTCACTCTTGCCTTCCTTCTCCCTCCCCACTGCCCTACCAAATCTTCAATCCCATAGATACCCATCCGGGCATCAGACCAGGACTTAAACAGTGCCAAATCACAGTACATCTGCAATCCACTACCAACCTTGAGCAGCAGTTAGAGGAAATGAGAAAAGGGAATTCACGTCAGAAATAGATTATCAATGTCTCTACCCTCTACCCAGAGGGCTTCCTGGCCTCTGGCATTTTCCTCTGTTGCTAAGGCCTTACAGAGAAGGACAGTGGCCAAGGCTGGGGAAGCACTGCCAGGTAGGGAGCAGCAGGTGGTGTGTCCTACCTGGGACACTCCTTGGCAGGGGCCCCACAGCCGAGGGTCCCCAACGTGATAAGTGGGAAGGAAATGGCAGCAGGAATGCACCCGGACAATGAGGACTATGCCAGATCTACGGTCCTTAAGCGCAGACACCACAGTAAGATTCATCCTCCTGCTACAATGAAACAGACTGCTGGAAATCAGGAGACTGGACATTCTGCGCCATCAAATGCAAGATTTTTGCAGTGAGAGCACCTGAGTTCTAAGCCCAGTTCTTGCACTTTCTAGTTCTGTAGCCGTCTTCACGGTATAATCACCGACTGCTCACTGACTGCTCACCCACTAAGAGCTAAGTGTTGGGCTTGGTACCAAGGCTGTATTGTGGGATGGCTCTGGTGGAATTAATTTCCAGGGAGGAGAATATCAACAAACATAAAAATCAAGAAAAGTGCCAGGCAGCCATAAGAACACGTGGCAACCTCAACGTCATGATGCACTCAGTAAGGGACTGGGAATGCTTCGTTTCTAAAGGATGAGAATCAAAAAGAAGGCCAACCACAAGTCTGGGGGAGGGCGTGGAGAAAGAGGAACTCTTGTACACTGGGGGTGGGACTATAAATCGGTGTAGTCATTTTGGAAAGCATTTTTGAAACTTCCTTTAAAAATAAAAGTAGAGGCACGGTGGACCTCTCCTATCTTGCCGGCTGCTCCCTCAGTGGTACACTTCATCAATCTGCCTGTTCTGCCCCCGACTCTTTCTGGTGAATCCTTTCATTGCCCCTGCACCTCTGGCCTGTACCCCAGTTCTGTATGCATAGATAAATAAATCTTTAAAAAAAAATAAAAGTAGAAATACTACATGTTGGATCCCACTCCTGTATTTAGCAGAAGAATACAAAACTTTGTTTGTTGCAGCATTATCTACAAAAGCTAATATCTGAATGCAAACTAAGTGTCCCCACCTCCACTCCCCACAGGTGACTGCAGAAAAGCGGGGTGTACACATAGAACACTACTCAGCTATAAGGAAGATGAAATCTGCCACACTTGTGAATGCGCTATGACCACACTGAAATGTATGTCCTTGATATTCAAGAAACTATTTCATCACCTACCGATGGTAAATTCATATTTCTGTTCAACTGGTATAAATGGCTTTTTAAAAATATCAAAAGCAGGACCTCCCTGGTGGCACAAGGGGTAAAGTCTCAGGACTATCAGCCTAAGGCCAGTCACTGCAACATGAGTTCAATTCCCAGCTGACCAGGGAGCTGACCCACATGGTGCAGCAGACCTCTCCTGTCTCCGGGGATCTCCCCTCTGTCTCTGGTGAATTCTCTCACCGCCTCCCCCCTGACCCCAGCTGCACCTCTGGCCTACGCCCTAGCTCTTACATGCATACATTTAAAAAATAATAATAAATCTTTTTTAAAAAGATCAAAACCTCACATACAGTATAAGGTAAATTAATATTGAATGAGGACTATATAAATAGCCCAATTCCAATCACAATGAAAAATGCACAAGTATTTTTATTATACCAGTTTTAGACTGTCCAAATTCAAGGATTTGGGGAAGAGGGAAAAGAGCAAATCTTCAGAGCCCTAGAAATTTAATTTATCAATATATTCTCCCATCTATATCAATATATTCTCAACAAGTTTTTTCCTACTCCAATCTGAACCTGCCCCCCATCCTGTCACCCAAAAGGAAGAAATTTAGAGAATCAGCTCAGAGTCAAAATTCTCCGAGAGGAAAACATTTCTTTCAAAAAAGTAAAAAAATAACAAATGTAGCACTGAACGTACCTAAAGATGAGCTTTTAAAATATGTATTTTACACACATATACACACATATTCTGAAAATCCCTCTTCAGTATATAAATTTTGGAATACCACTAGACCTTACCATTATAAAGTAATTACTGACTTAAAATCATCAAAAACTGCTTTCCAAAAAGCAAAACTGAAGCTGACAGGCCAGTTCAAATCCAAATTAACTGAGTGAATTTTGCAACATAATCCAGGCAAAAGAATATGATTCATATCTCAATTATGCAACAGCTAACTTTTCAATGTTTTTTGAAGTATGTGCCACCAACCCAAAAAAAAAAAAAGGAACAGTCATAGCTTTGGCATTAAAGCACTCCAAGCAACTTGAAGGTCTTAAAAATACAGATTCAGGGAAGAACTTCAAGAAAAATACGTGAGAGCAAAATCATAATCCCAAAGCACTGAGATGACCATTATTAATATTCCACTCAACATTCTACTTAATTTCATTTACTGTTTAGTTTTTTATTATTTATTATATAATTTTTATTGAAGTGATATTGATTTACAATACTGCGAATGATTCAGACACATGGTCTCACACCTCTTCAGGTATCTGTTACCTGAACACGGCACCTACCACTGATATCCAGAACCTGCCACTACGGTCCACTGCTCCCCCTCCCCAACCCCATCTCTGGTGACCTCAATTTTAGAATCATATTTCTAGTGTTTGTTTCGATTTAGTTTTGTCTGTTCCTTTTTTCTATTATATTTTCTTAAATTATTTTTCACAGAAATGACTTCAAATTACATAAATTTTTACGTAATATATCAAGAACATGTTTCTGTGCATATATACACATACATATACATAACATTTTTATAAATATATGATTTCTACTGTATAAATATACCCTAGTTTAAAGCTTCACTGAGAGGCTCTATAACCCATTCAGATGCCCTACCCTAAAGGAACAGAGTAAATTTAAACAACTATTTCCTCAAGTTAATTGCCCAAGACATCCATTTTTGAATTACAAATTGAAACTTGGTCTCCTTTCAAAATGCTTTGGGAAATAATGACTTAAGCAATCCTCAATATTGGACTGTTACAGCATTTTCAACATTTTTCTATTATTATAATGCTGGGATCAACTTCTTGTGTAAACATTTGTGTGTTCCTCAGGAAAAACCTCTAAAAATCAAGACTGCCTGCGTCAATGTAGTACTTATGTTAAAAGCCAGTGATAATTTCTGCCCAACTGTCCTCCAACAGAATTGCTGGTGTTTAAAAAAAGGTAATTTTTTCATTAAGGGATAGTTTGGAAGTTATGCATATTCATCATATACAACCAGTAGTTTTAAACCCATATATGACTATTTTAAGGACATGGGTAGAATACATGGTTATAAATTTCAAAGGTCTTACTGTGATTGAGCTTGACTCAAGAAACTATTTAAGAATGTCTCCTCATGCAGACCATGACAAGTCTGGGTATACTAAACTCTCATCTTTTACATATTTACATATTTCTGGGTATACATTCTGTGCTCTCAAGAAATATTAATACCACTTCCGACCTACATAGTGCTTCATTCTACTAAAATATTTACCACAAATGTTAGAAAGAAATTTTTAAAGAAAGTCTATTAAGCTATATCATAGCCACAGATCCTTCAAGAGACACAACGGTAGTTACATACATATTCACAGGCACGACTCTAATAAAGAAAGTCTCTTCCAATCTGTCAACACCAGTGTGATGGAAGGAAATGTATATTTTTTAGGTATAAATTTCAAACTGATTTTCAGTGCAAATTTCTACAGTTTCAAATAATAAGAATAAGGTCTTACTATCAAATAAAGTTGGCTTCCCAGGAAAAACAGGCTTTAAATTCCTTTTTTGCTTTTAAAGTGACACTGGATGTAATTTTATTCCTCAAAGTCACTCTCAAAGTTACTTAAGTATAGTGTTCACACCCAGGGTGGGGTTCTGTGGAATTTTCAAAGTTCAGAAGGACTGTGCCTACTCAAAAATATCACAAGAATCTATGGCTGAATTGTATTCGAAGCTTTAAAAAAAAAAAAAAAAGCACAGAAATTTGTATTCAGTGGCTTTTCAGTGGAGCCCATGTCTCGGCATTATTTTATATTTCCCCAGTTGATGTATTTGTACAACCAGAGTCAAAAATCCCTCAGTTATACAAAAGGGAAGAGGGAGTGTACCCTAAAGTCCTCAATTTAAATGGTCCTCCGAGAACCATTAAGCTTAGTGTAGCTTATTAGATTGCCTAGTTCAAACTAGAAACTTAAAAAGTTTCAAAAAGGGAAGGTACGACAGAATACCTAACTGGTCACCAGAAGGGCTGGTGACTGGGGCTATACAGTAGCAGAAACAAAACCCAAGGTGACCCATCCTTCCAGAAAGCACAGTTCCCACTGGAAGCACCTACGTCATAAACCAGGCCGAAAGAAAAACAGTGCTTAGCTGTATTTTTGTGCTTAAAGGGTGAGCCTTTTCAATGAATAGCATTCAACAACAGGTAGCACCTTCATCAAGGAATGCCAGCCCTATGTGATGAGTGTAAAACAGACTGAGAATTAAGACAGAATTCTCAGGGAGGTTCATTACCTTTACAGAGTAACAGTCATTTGTCAAACTATGCTTCTCAAGAGAAATACGTCTTACAAGAACAATGCAAAACAAGTCCCAAAACTTCTACCTAGTAAGATTATATGCATAAAAATCTGGCATTTCCACATTACCTACCAGATCTGGACTTAATGATATCACTGAACTCGTTCTGTCCATCATCAGGTCTGACCTCCTGTTCTCCATATTTGGCCATCTTTGCTGAGCTTCAATATAATCCAAAGACTTTACTTGCTGTTTCCTCTGATGGTCAACATCAGTGCCTACAGAGAAGAGGCAAATAGCAACTTGAGAGATATATAGATCTTATTATATAGTCATATGCAGTTACATATGAAACATAGTAATCATTCATGCAGCAATTATTTACTCAGAGACTACTGCATGTAAGGCAATGTGGATATGACTAGCAGAAAGAGCCTCTGCCATTATAAAGTGTGCAGACACTAAGCAGTTCGTTAGCCAATGAATTATTTCACTGCAATACTAATAGGCAGTAAGTATAGGAGCACAAAGTAATATGAGCAGACAGCAGGGGAATCTGAACGGCCCTGGACTACCACAGAAGGCTTTCTTTAGAAGTGAAATTTGAGCAGGCCTTCAAGGATGAGAAGAATTTAAAAAAAAAAAAAAAGTCAAAGAGAAAAAAGAGGTGGGTGTGGAAAAGGTGCAAGCCTCCCACGTGAAATGGCAGGAAGAATCATGAGATGGTCAAGCAGTTGAGCACCGATCAGTGTTTGCAGAGAAGGCACCAAGAGTTAGAGAGATTCAAGTAGGTGAGGGTGGGTAGACAGGACCAGGACAAGGACATAAAGATCTTTCTCTAAACAGCAGTAGGTATCTCTAGATGTTTTAACCCTAAGTAGCATGATCAGATTTGACTTCTTAATAGCTCATTCTGGTTCACAGGGTAGCCAAGCTAACGCACTGGGAGCCACAGACCTGGCAGAAGACAGCAGTGTTCACTGAAGAACCTAGGCCATGGTGTGTGGGTGTTGCCTGAAATTTCTTTCAACTCTTCTGTGTGTTTGAAATTTTTTCATCTATAAATGTAGCACTAGGATCCCTAAACTTCACCAAATGATCACCCTTCACGTGACCCATAGCAGGGTGTCATGTGAAGCAATGGAAAATATGCTGTCTTTATAGTACCCTTGTCAAAATGTTGAATGTGAAGCTGATTAAGAGTAGACAAATATAAACTGGGGGTCCTCTTCAAAATAAGTTGCCTAGATACTTCACCATTGTCAGTATCATGAAAAACAAATACACTGGGAGAACTTTGAGAGTCCAAGGAGACTGAATGAACATATACAAGTGTGATCCCTAATGGAACTCAGAATTTTAAAAATTAATATTTGGAATATAATGTAAAAATCTGAGTTTGAGCTATTTATTATGCAGTATTACTATATCAATATTAAGTTCTTTAATATTGGTGACCGGTTTCCTCAATATGCAAAGAGGAAACTATTTTTGTTATAAGAGACACATGATGAAATATTTAGCAATAAAGTGGGATAATTTTTCAATTTAAGTTGAAACAGGACGGCTTATATCTACGTCTGTATATGTATGCACATGCAGAGACTCAGAGAGAGAGAGATGAAACAGACATTAGAAATTAAGTGAGGAACCTAGTTAAAGAGCATAATGGTGTTTGCTATTCTATTCTTTGCTGTAATGTTACAGGCAGGTTATGATTTTGACCTAAACAAGGGTAGATAGGAAAGAGATAGGTGAATGTGTGGGATAGTAGATGTTAAATTAAGGGGGTCAACAGGACTGGGACCGAATCTGAGAGGTTCAGGATACAAAAGTGTAAAATGACTGCCCAATTTTGACTTTGATAACTGAGTGGAAGATGAGTCATTTACTGAGCTGAGGAAAAGCTGCCTGAGGAAGAAGTAATTAATGTGGTTTGGACTTGCAGAGCTAGACATGCCTCTGAGATATATAAGGGGAGATAACGAAAGGGTCTGGCCTCAGGAATATTCTAGATTATATAGAAATCTGAAGTTATAGCTGATACCCACTGACATAAATTTTATTTCCATAAGTACAGCACATGAATTCTGTCAAGCATAGATCTCAACAAACAAAATAATTTTAATCTTCAGCAATAAGGAAACCATAAGGAGCACCTGTAGATGGAAAGAAGGGAACATTGTATTCTGCAGGAACACCTTGTCTTTAAGAATGTCAAGCACTGGGCCCTCCCTGGTACCACATGGGGTAAAGCACTGCACTATGGAAGCTAGACACAGACATTTCACGAGTTCAGTCCCCAGACAGGAAGGTGACCCATATGGCGCAGCAAACCTCCTGACCCGCCCGCTGCTTTCCTCAGCAGTGTACTTTGTCGATGTGCCTATTCTGCTCCCCACTCTGTTCCTGGTGAATCCTCTCACCGTCCCTGCTCCTCTGGCCTACACTCCAGTTCTGTATGCATGAATAAATAAACCTTAAAAAAAAAATGTCAAGCATTAGAGGATGACATAGCCTAGTACTTCCAGGAACACAACACCCCAACAATTCAGACAGTATCAGAAGTCAAATTTTAGTTTGCAACTTGGCTCTACCTTAAAAGTCTTTCAAATAAAATTAATAATTAAAAATAATCATTTCATTGGGAATCTAACAATCAGCAATCATCCAAACATTACTTTGCAAACAATGGACATGAGTTCAATATTACAATAGATCTCAGAGCCAGAACTAAGTACTAGCTAGCTGGGACTGGACACAGTCCCAATTCTTTAATGCAAGGACACATCATCAATACTAATATTTTATAATATATTTTACTATTTATTTATAAGTATATTTAGTATATTATAGTGTATACGATATGTTGTAGTCAAGGAAGCTCCACATGTTATTTTATAATAATATAAATACATGTAACATACAATTATTTTCCTTACTTGTCTGTGAAATGGTGTGTTCAAATTATGGACCAAATTCCTAATGACAAAAATTTAAGCATTTAAGGGTTTGAGACAGATGAAAACTGACAAACTGCTAAAGCTTTAGAAACAATTTCCTCTACAGTAGGAAAGAAAATAAGGATTGAATCATCAGTTTGTCAAATTTTATGAGTATGAAAAAGTTTTTGTATTTATGTCACTCCACTACGATTAATACTTTATGATTATAATCAGGTACCTTTGGAGGGGACCTTTTTGGAGGTACTCTGATGTATATACATATACTGTGCATGTATGGAAGTATATATATACACACACACCTGCAAAAGATTTGCTGAATTCTTAAGTGTATGTTAGCATACTTAAGGATCAAAAACTTAGTTCAGAAGTATGCAATGAATTGTTCCTTCTGGGAGATATTTCCAATGCTCTCCTTTTTAAATGTTTTCAGCCTATATTCTTCAATGCTTCCCAGAGACTTTTCCCACTCCGTGAAAAAGAAATATGAATGTTTACATGGGATTTTACTTTATTTGCACATCACATTATTATATTTTATTTGGAGTTATTTTGCCATTCTCTTTAAGTTCTCAAATTTTCTCCTCTTGTAATCAAAATTCATTACATGCTACCAAGATGACTGCTACCCAGAAAAGAGGGGTGGAAGGACAAGGGACCCATGGGAAGGAGGGAGAATCACATTCAGACAGAGCTGCTGTCACTTGTCACCAATGGGCAGGGGGTCCAGCCAAATCCATGACAAAATATACCTCCTTCAAATCTGCTAACTGCTGCCATCATTTATACTGGGTATCAGGAGATAGACTCATAGTTTCATCACTAACAATTTTCCTCCTAGATATGACCTTCCTCTTCCAGATCTATGAAACAGAAAAGTCAACTTCCAGTCAGAGCTGGTGAGATGCTGAGAATGGATGGGATATGACTCTGGAACCTTTCAGCCATTGACAATTTTAATCTAAAGTGAAGACTCGCTCCTGTAGGCTTGCTGCCTCTCAAAAGGGTGCTTTGTGGAGTTCAGACAGACATCTCTCACTTTATATATTCAACTGCACTCAATAGCTTACTTCAAAACCTTCCTGTCGTACAGCCCAGAAGCCCTACTGGGTGGCAATAAGTCTGGTGTGAAAGGAGAAATGGTCCTAAAAGCAAAACTAATATTTTCATTTCAAAGTAACTTGGGACTTACAAAATGTCAGAATACAAATATGCCTAACAATGTGTAACTGGGATGGAAACTGGGCGTATGTCCTTGAGCAAAAACTATTCACTTACACTGGAAACCCAGATGCAGGAATACCAGAGACAGTGGCTCAGGACTGCAAAGGGCAAGAATCTAACACTTTGCTTGAAAACATAGTAAAAGAAACGCCCAGTGCCAAGAACTGCCACTCACTCGGAAGCGTTCCAAGGGAAGGTTAGTGCTACAGTGATTAATACTGTTTACAGGAGCAATAAATTTTTTAGGTAAACACCCAAAGGAAAGTTAAAGAGCTGTTTCACTAGTCACATAAATGCGGGCAAAGGAGGCAAGGAATGACTCCATGCAACACTCTGCAAGCTGAAGGACCTGAGGTTTGCATTCCTCCAATTCTGGGCAGACCCTCAGGAATACCCTGCACCACACCAACAACCAGCTGGAGAAGGCACCCAGGGAGGAGGCATCACCCCACCCCCCCCCACCCCACCCCACCCCACCCGACTCCACCCAACTTCCTGCAGGCAGCACCAGTTACTAAGCAAAGGCTGCGGTAGCTGCCGCGGTTCTGAAGCCCAAGAGCACCAGCACCCACCGGGGAGCCCAGACTCCAGACCAGGGTCCTGTTTAGGGCTCTACACAGTTGAACTTGCAGATGCATTCATCCTAGTACGGCTGAAGGAAGGCCTTGGGCCCAGGTGACCTGGATGCTGGGAAGGAGGAAGCTCTCTAGAACATCCCAGAGCTTGGGGCCAGGACACCGACACCGGGGCAGACCCGGGACTCTCCAACTCCACAAACCGGGAATCGTCCAGCTCTGGCAGGTCCAACACGTTTCACCTCCCCCTAGAAAACACCCTGGGACGAGTGCCTTTCCTGTCTGGCACTTGGAAGTTGCAAAAAAAAAAAAAAAAAAAGCCTATAAGAAGTTGTCGGTTTTGTAAATGACCTGGGGCACCCAGAGCCTCAGACCTGGTACCAAAGGGGGACACGAATTACCTTATCGGTCGAAGCAAGGGATGCCAAGGGTCCGGAAAGACAGGCGAGGCCACCGCGCCCGACTACGCACCGCCTGGACGCTCCCCGCCCCCGACCGGGAGCCCCATCCTCAGATCAGTAGCCCCCAAGTGGGCCAGCAAGTTTCCTACCAGGCGAACAGCTGGGACTCGCTCCCCAGCCCGCCAACCTCACAGCCACCCGCTTCCCGGCCTCTCTGGGTGGACGCCTCCCGGGCCCCGCCTTCCTGGGACTGGAACGCGTGTGACAGGCCCTCTTAGGAGGCCACGTCCCCTCTAGGCGATCCCTGGGCCCGCGCGAGTGCCGGCGCGCGACCCTCTTACCCCGGCGGGCGGAGGGGCGGCGGAGACAGGGGCCGCCCAGAGCCAGTCCGAGGTGCTGGGGCTGTCGGCTTGCAGTCGGGTCCCCGGACCTGCTCAGCGGAGCCCGCCCCACGCTGCTGGCATTCTCTCCCCGCCGGAGGGAAGCCGGCGCAAAGTGCCCTCAGAAGTTGGTCACTTCGCAGACTCCGCCTGCAGGAGTTCGGGACGCGGGCGCCGGGCTCAGGAGCCGCGGAGCAGTCCGTCC